CTTTTTGTTTTATTGATGATTTCCTTTGCTGTGAAAAAACTTTTAAGTTTGATGTAATCCCATATGTTAATTTGTTCTTTTATTTCCCTTGCCTGAGGGGATATCTCAGTAAAAATATTACTCAAGGTAATGTCTGCAAATTTACTCCCTATTTTTTCTTCTAGGAGTTTTATGGTTTCAGGCCTGACATGTAAGTCTTTAATCCATTTTGAATTTGTTCTTGTATATGGTGTAAGTAGGTGGTCCATTTGATTAGGTCCTTTTCCCGGAGTTAATAAGATTTTTAAGGTGATAAGTCTTCTCTAATATACTGCCTGAAAAAATCACGAGTATTCTGTCTGATTTCTGCAAGCTGAGTGGAGTAGGAGCTCAGTCCCAACATTCCATAGAAACATTTTATTTAATTTCTCTGCTTTTAATATAGTCTACTTCTATCAGCTACGTGACATCCCCCAATCCAGAAACCCTTTGTTTTACCATCTCTAGAGAGTTCATCTGCAGGCCTCTGCTGGGCGGTAACTGATCTGCCTGCTGTAGGGACAGAACCTGGGATCTGATGGCTTCTTGTGCAGATCTTGAAACAGTCTTTCTGTTTCAGCCTCATCATCATTCCTACTCCTGGAGAGAGCTTTGCCTTTTAGGGATTGAATGCAGTAGATCATTTAGTTCCATGGCTTCTCCACCCCGCTTTCACATTGATTCAACTTTTGAAGTCTTCTTAGTTACCACCCTTTTCTCTGCTTTTGCAAGTTCCAAAATTGTGCTCCTTTTTTTTCTTTTTTTTTTTTTGGTCTCTGTGGTTTGTGTCTTTTGTTTGTGTTCAGTTTACTATTATTTTTGTTGGATTTCAGAAGGGAGTAAAGGCTAATGCATAAGTTGAGCTGCTATCCTCCCCTAGAAATGTCCCTGCCTCACGGCTAGCCCTTGCCCTGGCCCCTCATGTACTGTATTGCTTCCCAGTCCGTGTGGCTGGGCTGTGCTGCACCAGTTCATCTGGGGCCTCTAGGACTGGCTAACTGTTTGCTTAAGTCCCTGAAAGTTGAGTGCCCAACCCCCAACATTTTCTGTAAGCACCTCCCCTACGTCAGCCCTGACCAGTGGGTAGATGTCATGCGGACTGGTAGGATATCAGAAAGGCCAGACTTTCCCCTGCTCCCCACTCCTCTGCTCTGTGTTGCTGGAAATAAACCACCAGGGTGTCTTGTGGGATGTTGGTCAAATGTCCCATCCGGGCAACCCTGCTTATGGGGTCAGGGAGGGGACCGCAGGCTGATGGCTCAATCTAGGCCCTGTGAGGTGGTCTCATAGTTCTGTTGTTTAGCTCTTAATAAATCTTGTGTAGGGTTTTATTTATTTGTGCTGTGTGGCCCAATGTTAGGAAACTAACTCAGGCCAATCAAAGCCACAGCACACTGAGTCACCTTACCAAGTGCTTATTTATTGATCTATAATGGGCTGTGTCTCTTTCTAATAACAGGATCATTTATATCTGCTCTCCAGGGTATTCCTTCTGGGGTATCAAGGCAGAACGGAAGCTCACAGTTATCAGCTGTCTTCTCTCCACCAGGGCGTGCCAGGTACATTTTCGTGTATAATTTCCAGTTAAGCCGTGAGGAGGTCTTCCCCCCATTTTACAGATGAGGAAACCAATGTTCAAAGAGGCTGAGTAAGTTAGTAAAGCTTACAAAGCCAGTGAGAGAGGGTCAGAACCTTCTCCGACTCTGAACTAGATGGCCACAGAAGGAGACAGAGAGGAGATGGCCTCACAAGCTTCACGTCACAGGAGAATTCAGGAGTCAGTAGAGGCCCTGAATGACGTCGTAGAGGAAGAGCAAGAGGAAATTGCTGGGCTCAGACCATTCTTTAGGGAGGACAGGGAGGCTATCAAAAAGACCAGAATTTTCTATCTTCATAAGATCCTCTAGGATGTCCCAGTCCCTCAAATTACCTGAATATTATTTCCAACATGGCTGACTTCTCATATTAGTAATTCCCTGTGGAGGATAGGTAACTGGGCTATCACTTGTGTTCTTACAAAGCTGTATTACCTATGAGTTCCTAAAGTGTGGCCAGTCACTGATGATGAATCATTTGAGGACCAATAAACCTATGGTTTCCCAACATAAATGCCCATCAGAATCACCAAGAGAGGTTGTTGAAAATACAGAGTCTTGGGCCCCAACCTAACCTACTAAACCATCGCTCTATTTTTACAACCCCACAAACCATTCTTATGAGGCTGGTCTGACTACTTCTCAGAAAGCCCACGCTCTGGGACAGGATCAGTCAGAGGTCGACAACATTGGACAGGTGGGTGACAGCAGCAGAAATCCTGAGCAAGGCTCATGTTTTTTACCTCATGGTGGAGAGTCCAGCGGTGCAAGGAGTCTTGTGTATGTAGGTTCCACGTGTGTTCACTTCCCTTTCTTTCATCAAGGTCATACTCACCCATGGAATCAATTGACCAGTGATAGTTCAAAAACGCACTACGGGCACTTGAGAAATGGTCGTCATCCTCAAGAAGTGTATTAACTATGCATCTCATCAATTCCAAAATGCATGTTTTGGTTCACGTTTTAACATCTCAGAAATGGGGTTGTACCTAAAAATTGATTGTATCTTAGCTTTGTTATAATGTGACTGAGAGTGTTTTTTTCTCTCTTATGGTATGTAAAATTAATGGTGCCACTTAAAATCAATGGTATTTTCAAATCAGTGAAACACAGTAGTTGAAAAAGGAAGAGCACACTTGCATGAACAGGTAGCTGACATGAATTTTGCTCATGCTGTTCCCTCTACATGGGTAATCCTGCACCTCTCCTTCACCAGTTCTAATCTGTTACAACTCAATTCAAATGCCACATCCTCCAGGAAGCCTTCTGTGTCACCTCAGTCCTACCACCCAACCTGGATTCCAAGTCCTCCCTCTGGCCTCCTGTACTTGCCTCTGACTTATGCTTGTCACGCTGTATTATATTTATCCTGTAATTAGCCCACCCCTCTCTCAACTAGATTGTGAGCTCCTTGAAAGCAAAGGTGCAATTGTACACCTCTGTGTTTCTAGCAACTAGCACAGAGCCTGGGATGTAGTAAAAGTTCAATAAATGTTTGTTGAATGAATGAATGACAAAGGGTTGAATAGTTTCAGGCAATATGTGTTCTGTGTCATATGTAATACCACAGGATTTCAAAAGAAAGGCCGAACACAGGGCTGAAAACGTCAGGGGCAGCTTCATGAAGGGGATGGGATGGAAGCCATTCTGGTTGAATAGCTGACGGAATAAATGGCTCAGGACTGAAATGAAGAATGAGAAAAGCGTGTCAGTGCTCAGACCTCCATCTCTCCTGGTAGGTAGATGCTGCGATGACGTCCCTTGGCTGGATTTCATGTTTGAGTTTCAGGAGGCCATGGGGCTTTTCATTCATGATAACCCTTAATAATTAAAACTCTGGGTATTAGAACAGTAGATGCTCAGGTTCCACAGAATGAGCAGTTCAACCCTCGGTGAGTTTTCTCCGGAAGTTCTGAATATACACAGACTTTGTGGTTTAGACCTCAGCGCTTCCTGCCAGCATCTGATAAGACCTAGCAAGTCTAAGAAGCCGGGGGAAGGTGGTGAATGGGCGGTGGATGGGACCACAAACAGGGCCCCCGCATTTCAAAGCAGGTGCCTTCTCACCACGTACTGTTTTAGAACCTTAACTGAAAACTGTTGTTGTTTTGGATTTTTTTTTCTCCCCACTTCCCCCAAGGAACAGCTAACAAGACTCTAGCTGGGAATGGGGGCTGACCTTTTCATACTGGTCATTTAAGACATTTGGGATTTGATTAAACCTAGTCATCTCTTAGTCTGCCCTTTGGTATGTCATCCGATAGGCTCATGGCGCCTCCAGTATTCACAGGTTCCTGTCTTTTCTGGGATGACTCTATAGATCATTGTGACCATGTCTGAACAGTCAAGGAAGTGAGACCCAAGCAAATTATGTTTTCTGGCGACTCTCGTTGAGATTTGTGCATAGAGGTTTCAATTCATTATACAAATCTACAAACAGGTTGCCAGGCCAGCTTTGCAGCTGAGACCTTGGGAGCATGTTCTAGTAGGGATTAAGGTGGCCCAGGTGAACTGGAGTGACCAAATTTGTTCCTACTTCCATACCAACCATCTTCCTCATGCAGCAGCTTGATGCTGGGCTCCTTCCTATAATGAGTAGACACTTGGATCAAATTAAAGCTTTTATTTCCAGTCTACTCCCGGGATGGTGGGCAAGTGTCCACCAGGCACGTAAGACACCCCAGAGTCCTTTGAGCAGGCAGGCAGCTGGCAATGAGACACAGGCTCAGCGACTCCCGGACGTCACACAGGGAGGTGCAGAGTGCTGTAGGATTTTGTGCTCGGTCACCCATCATCTTAACAATGGCACTTTTATTGTCTTTTCCTTCCTGGTGTGGTGGAGCTCTAGGAGGAGGCCAGAGCACCCAGATGTTAGACCATGTTTCTGAGAAAGGGTGCAGTATGGCTGTGGCCCATGGGCTCAGGAGACGATAACGTTCTACTAGGATACACTCGATGGAAGTGCAGGCATGCACGCCGGGGGGCGGGATTTCCACAGCGCCTTTCTGGGAAAGGATGGTTTCTATGTCTTGAATTAGAGGAAGGGGACAACGGTGCCAGGAGACAGTTATGAGTTTTCCGTGAACCCACGGGGAGGTTTTGGTTGAACTCGAGGCCTGGGGAGAGGGGGGCCTTTCTGCTGGTGACCTTGTGTGCCATGGGGAGGAAGAGGCCTCTTCTGCTGCTGCTGCTGCTGCTGCTGCTGGTGCTGGACACGGTGGCCAGGAGGTGGGGGACGATGACCAGGTGCCTGGGTGCGATGACCAGGGGGTGGAGGAGGTTGGGACACAGCCGGATTCTGAGGAGCTGAGCCTGGAATTTGGTGGGGCTTCTGGGTCCTTTCCTCGGAGGTTATTCTATGTACTCTGATGTCCAGCTCCTCACCTGCAACAATAAAACCTCTAAAGAGTTCATCTTGGCAAGGTATGGTCAGCGTGACTATTTATCAAGTGTACCTCCTCTGTACAAGGTGTCATGCTAGCTGCTTCTGGGGATGTGATGAGGAAGCAGAAGCTGCCCTACCTTCTAAGGGTTCTCGGTCTTACAGGGGAGACAGAAATGCCCACCAGCAAGGTAGAGTGAGAGCCCAGGGATTTAGAGAACTCAGGGAGCCTGAGGCAAGGAGACATGTGGGGGGAGGCTTGGTTTTGGGTCTCCCAGGAGTAGAGAGGGCACTCAGACCCCACAGGCTGCCGGTGTCATTCTAGAGATGGTGCCCTGAGAGTAGCTCATGGTTAGGGCCCTCATAATGGGCTCTGCATGGACAGAGAGGATGTTTGTAATGACCTTCCTTCAGCTCCGCCTTTCACCAATTCTGCTGTAACACAACCACATTCTGGTGCGGCTTGGAAGCTGCGCAAGAGGTTTGCAGTCCTGAGAAACTTACTAGCTTCTCAGAAATTCATAAAGAAGGCCCATCCTCTGGGGCTTAGAGGGAGAAGGACTCTTCCCCTGGTCCCCGCTCTGGGATTGTCTGCTTTGTGTGACTATCATCCATGAAGACAAGCCCATGACTCACAGTAATGTCATTTTTCCTTTGCTGTTTCAAAACCACACAGAAACTCTGTGAGGGTGCTCAGCTGCGATGGGTCTGAAGGGCCCCATGGCCCCTCCGGCCTCCTTTGGGCTACAGGTTTGGTACTCCTATCCCTGTGCCCAGGGCCACCCTTGCAGCTCTGAGGAAGGCAGTAGGAGGGCGGTCAGTGAACGGCTGTCGCACTGCTGCAGGGATATGCTGCTGAGCAAACACAGGCCTTCCCTGAGTGTCCTGTGACTTCAGGAGATGACGCGAGTCCACACGTCTTCCTCCTGCTGCTGGAAGTCCAGGCCTCAGGTGGCTTCCAGTGTGAGGGCTCAAAGCAGATGACACAGTTTGGAGTGTAAGAGGCCAGTGTGCTCTAAGCACACACAGAAAAGGGTGCAGAAAGGGAAAAACACATTCTTGGTGCCCCAAGGTCATGTCTAGGAGGCCAGGCAGAGAGGTCTGTGACTCCTGACCACACTCCCTGCTATGGATCAGAGCGGGGTCTGTTTGTAGCCCTTACGTGGCAGGCTTGGCCTGGCCGTTGATTCACGAGTCTGTTCACCCACTGTTCTGTTCATTTGTTCTTTGAACATCTTTTCTCCCTCTTCTAGGTGTTAGGTGCCATTGCCAAGTGGCAGTGATGCCCCCCAAGAAGCCTAAAATCAAGTAAGCAGGACTGCCAATCACAATATCAGTCTCTAGTAAGAGCCCAGGGCCTCCAGAGGGGTGCAGACCAGGAGTCCCATGAGTTCCAGGAGGAGGGGTGGGGCGTGGCCAAGTGGCTGAGGCTCCAGGCTGGCTTGGGCAAACAAGGCTAGCTATGACTCTGTGCAGCCTGCCCGGGCAGAGCAGAACTGTGGGCCCCAGCATGTCCATGCCTGCAACAGCAGCCCCTGCCCAATGTCTGCTCCAGAGAATTCTTTCAGGCCCATTTTGTCTCCTGGCTGCTCAACCCAGGGCCAGGATGAAACAGTCTAGGCACCTGGGCCCTCGCTTTCAGGGTTGTGCAGGGTCGACTCTGAGGGTGAGGGTCTCTTTAAATTTTGCACCCTGGGCTCCTTGCTTGCCTCACCATAGTGCTGACTCAGCCTACTGGGGAGAGGGTTTGGGGGAAATCATTTAACCTCACTGAGCTTAAGTTTTCTCATCTGTATGAGTATTATCTATCTTATAAGATCACTCGGAGAGTTGGATAAGATAATGAATATAAAGCATTATATCACAGAGGTTAGTGCCTTTCACAAGCAACTGATTTGTCACTACGAGGGAGTCATTTCAGCCTGGTGAAAGCATGTTGGTCATTTCAGCCTGGTGAAAGCATAGATTGCTTTGTCACAGGGTGGCGTGTGAGGCCCACTTTGGAGAATACGTGAGCTTTGACCATTAGGTGATGGAGAAACGGCCTTTGCAGGGGAAAGAGAGAGCAGAGAACAGCCTGAGAAGGGCTCAGCGAGCAATTCTGTTCTACTGGGGTGGAGAGGTGGGAAAGATGGCGGTGGAAACACGAGGCTATGCTGGGAGCTGTGGTGTGGCGGGACTTAGGGCCCAGGGCCAGGGGCCTGAAGGAGGCCTGAGGAAAGAAGTCTAAAGTAAGGGAGCCAAGTCCGAAGGCAGCCCAAGGCCACCACTGGCTGGGGGGGTTCAGATCAGTTCCTTTCTTAGGGAGTACCCTCTCTAGGGAGAGACTTAGAGTGAGGGGACCCAGTCCTGCCGTGAATGTGAGATTGCACAGAACTTGACAGAGCTGCCCACCTGGCTGCATGTCCCGCTGATGGCGGGGTGCCCCCTGCTGGACCCACCTGCAGCATGAGGTCCCAACTGCCCCATCCTAACACCTGCGGAGACACCTGCTATGCCATTACAGTTGTCCCCCCTCATTCACGGTTTCGCTTTCCATAGTTTCAGTTACCCGCGGTCAACTGAAGTCCAAAAGTATTCCATGGAAAATTCCAGAAATAAACAATTCATTGCATATAATTCTGAGTAGCTTGACGAAATCCCGCGCTTTCCCATTCCGTCCCACCCAGAATGTGAATCATCCCTTTGTCCAGCGTATTGACCCATGAGACACTCCCCACCTAGTCACTCAGTAGCCATCTTGGTTTTCAGATCAACTGCTGAAGTATCGCGATGCCTGTGTTCGAGTCACTCTTATTTTACTGAATAATGTCCCCACAGCCATTCACATAATTGGGTATAAACACCCAGTTTTAGAACAAGCCTGGGAGTCCCTGATGCCTGAAATTTTACCCATGTTCCTAGAAGCTTGGTCCTGAACACACTTTGGGTCACCCCTCCAGGAATGGACAAGATGTTTGTTGAAGGAAAGGGTGTTTCAAAGCTCATCTTTCTACCCACACAGAAATGTGTGGCTTATTCAAAATGCATCCACACAGCCTTACACCGAGCCAGCCTCTGGCAGTGGATTCCAGTGGGCCAGCCTGGATTCAGCTTTTTACAGTTCTTACATTGTCACTACTGAGAATTTGTTTTTCAGAGATCAAGCTAACCACAAAATGGAACAAACAGTAACCGCCTGTGACAGCCCTGACATTCTGAAACTATCTGTCCCCATTCTTTTCTTGCCAGACTCAAAGCGTCATCTCCCTGAGTTGTTTCCACGGGGATTTTGCTCAGGCCTGTGATGGGACAGAAGGAGGGATCTTACCATCTCTCCTTCTGTGCTGTTTTTTCCTCTTGCTGATGTAGACAATGAGTAGGGCCACGAAGATGAAGAAGGTGATGCCTGCTCCACATATGCCCACGATGAGGTAGATATCCACTTTTCCTACAAGAGGAACAGAGGTGGGATGGAGGAGAGGGGTCCTGGGCAGAGGGGCCATCATCGCTCCAGCCAAGGACCCCTGCCTCCTGCAGGAAGCAGATAATAGCACCTGATGGGACTTCTCAACTGCGTGAAGGCCACGCTTCTGGTGGGTGATGAATTGTGTCAGCCCTGACAGAGCACAGGCCCACACCCAGCCCCTCCGAAGGCTCCTTGAGGAACTGTCCCCCGGTTTAGAATGCCTGCTTCCTCATGTGCCCTGTCCACTCCCCACATCAAGGAGAACAGCACAGGCGTGTAGATCTGAGAAGGAGTTTGGAGACAATCTAGTGTCCTCTCTAGTTTCGCAGACAAGGCCCAGAGAGGGAGGATGAATTGCCTGAGGATACACAGTATCTCTTCCTGAGTGGTCCCTTTAAGGAGACCCTTGTCTCAAAGTTTCTGCACTATTTACCCAATCTCATCGCTGGCTACCCTCTTTCACCACATTTTTTTTGTTTTCTCACCTTCTCGGCCAGGCAGTTTCCAAAGGCTGAGGGTCACTTGTCCAGCCCAGCCCTCTGACCTCACAGCCAGCACCCCCGCCCAGGCTTCCCTGGCCTGTGAGAGAAACTCAGACACACAGGGAGCTAGCAGCAGCAGTGGACTTTATCTTCAGCTCACAGACCTCCAGTTGCTGTAATGCAATGAGGATAACAATGACTCAGGGTTAAGAGAAAAGGGTTTGAGTCCCAGGCTCCTCTAAGACAAGAGCTGTGTGACCTTTGGCAAGTTACTCCACCTCTCTGAGCCTGTTCCTCGCTTTGTAAAATGGAGATAATGAAACTTACATTACAGGGTGGTTGTTAAAAGTCAATCAGATAATGGATGTGAAAGTGCTTTGTAAACTGTAAAAGAACATGCAAAGGTGAGGTCCTGCTCTTCGTAGAGCTCTGTGCACTGGTTTCCTGGGAGGGCTGCTGGGCCATCTGCTTTTTGTGAGTCAATGGCAGCTAGAGAAGCAGCAGCTGGGGCCAGGGGTTCAGGGGACTCGTACACCTGGAGAACAGGCTGGAGCTCAGCCAAACATTCCAGGAAACATGCTCTTATACCCAAAGCCCAGGATGGGCCCCAGGAGCAAGCCAGAGGTCCCAAAACCAAGCCAACAGGCTGCAGTGGTGTGTTAATCTTTGCTTGCTTTCTTGAAGTGTCTCTGACCCGTCCTGGCCTGCCTGTAGCACGACCTCCCTCTCTGCTCTGCGGATGGAGGGGCTTCGAGTAGAAAAGCAGGCACGATCCTAAATGGCCATGAAACGGGGCTAACAAAGGATCTGGGATCCTTTGGTTTCCACTGGCTGGGAGGCAGGGCTGGGGCTGCCGAAGTCTCCCTAGATTGAGCCAGGTAGGCCAGCAGGCCTGGAACAAGGTGGGGGCACAGGGTTCAGCCGGGCAGACACCAGCTCGTCCTCTCTCAGCCCTCATAGGAGGCGGCCACACCCTTATCTTGGGCACACTTAACAATGTAAGAACGCCTTACAGCCTGTTTGCTGGGTTGCCCAGCACAGCCCTCTGGGGAGCCTGGGGGTGATCTCCATGGGGAACATTCCAGCATGTCTTAGAGGCAGCTGTGACTCTGTCATTCAAAACTGTGTCCTCACAGTCTCTAAAGCCAACCAGAGCCCTGCCTACATTCCTTCCAGGCGCTAACTCATCCCTAAGTTTATGCGGCAGAGTCCTTCTGTGTGTCCAAACCTGCTCCCTGCTCTAGTAGTTTCGGCTCATCTTTTCTGAGCCAGGTTGTTTCCACTCTGCCTTGACCTTTTCTGGGTGAAATGTCCAGGTCGTTCCCTTTTAGGGTCTTTAAGAACAGCCTCCTCCTCCCCAGTCCCCCCACCCCAGGTGTTCCTCCCTTCCCGGCCCGGCCCGATTCGGCACCACAGCGTAAGGGACACGAGGCTCCCATCTTTGAACCTCTGCTTCTCCCTAGGCCCTCCCTCTCTCCCTAATGTGCACACATTTTCATACTGGAGCGGTCTAGTTAAAATAAACATGGAGTGAGCCTGTCAGATAAAATACAGGATGCCCAGTTAAAGTTGAGCTAAACAACGAATAACTTTTAGTATAAGTATGTCCCATGCAATATTTGGAACATGCTTTTACTGTGTTTTCACTTGTTAACTCTGGCAGCTCTAATCAAGGGCCTCCTGAAAGGGAAAAAGAGGTCGCAAAGTCGAGGAGGGGCTGCTGCCTTCACTGTGCCTCAGTGGTGGGGGCCGTGGAGGGATGGCTGGTGGGCAGCGAGGAGGGGGAGTGACGCTGGTCTAAGCATGTGGCCGGCTGACTCTAAGATGGCCCCAAAGACCCCCGCCTCCTGGTGTTCCCGCCTTTGTGTGCTCCCCTCCAGTGGGATGTGGGCTGGACTTATTGGTTGCTTCTAATCACTAGCATATTCGCAGAAAATGTTGGGATATCTATCAGTCCTGAGCTTAAGTTATAAAAAGATAGTGGCTTTGGTCTCGAGAACTTGTTCTTGCCCTTGCTTAGATTGCTCAGAGGGGAGCCGGCTGCCATATGTCAGGCAGCCCAGTGGCCAACATAAGTGGGCATGGGAGTGGATGGCCCCACCCCATGGAGTCTGGATGTGATTGACATGCCGGCAGCCCCTGCCAGTGTCCAGGTTGTAGCTTCATGAAAGACTCTGAGCCAGAACCACTAAGTTACTCCCAGGCTCATGACTCAAAGAATCTGGGCGACAATGACTACTTGCTGTTTTAAGCCATTAAATGTGGAGTAATTGGTTATGCAGCAACAGATAACTCATTCAAAGTATCTACGACTTCACTCCAGCCCAAGACTGCTTCTCAGGGTCACTAACTAGCCATAGTCACTGTTGAAACTCAAGGCCTCTGGCCAAATAACTAGTTTTTGTGCTCAGTTTCCCTTCAGGGAGTTTGACCAGACAGCACTGGAAAGATAATCAGAGTATCAAATGAGTAGACTCTTGGGAATCGAGGGGTTCGTTTTCTTTGTGGACCAGGAGGTTGAAGCCTAGAAGGGGAAGGGACTCTGTCAAGGTCAGCCCGTTACATCTGGATAGACCCAAACCAGACATCCAGGCCTCCGGTTCCCAGAGCTGAGCACTACAGCAGGCTGCCTCTCAAAATTTACTTCAGGGAGTGATGTCAAGCTGGGGTGACAGGAAAGAGCTTAGACTCAGAGCTTCGGGACTTCCTGGTTGCTGGCTTCTGCTCTGAGGCAGGAGGACATTGCCTCGCTGTCCGCGCCCTCTCTGACCTCGAGCTCTTCCTCCTCCATGCCCCGCCTTAGCTCCGTATTTTTTCTATGGCCCTTCTACCCTCGCCTCTGATAGGAGGTGCTGGCCATCTCCCCTCCAGAAAGGAGTATTTTTTGTTCCCTTCTGCATCGTTACCCTGGGAGTCACCATTGTGGTCACTGACTAGCTGAGGGACCTTGAGCTAGTAAGATTGTCTTCCTGGGAAGCGGGGGCTGGCATAGGTAGGTAGCCTCTACAGCTCCTTCGATGTGTTCAGTTTGGCAATTCCTTGTCCCAGAAGATCTTTTCAATTGCCTGGGGTTATTTTATGTTTTGTGGGAGGACAACCAGGACAACCATGGAACACCACCTCATCTCTTCTCTAAGCCTTCCCTTGAAGGTTTCCAGGGGGAAGAGGTATGTTTTCAGTACTCATTTTGGAGTCAAGGCTGCCTCCCAGCCCAGGCACCTGGGCCCTGCAGCCAGCCTCAGCCATGGGCTGGGCCACTGTGTTTGTGAAACGAACTTGGGATGTCTGATTAGTGCCTGCCACACACCTGAACACGTGATGGTCACCGTGTCGTTTTCCTCACTGGCTTCATTACTTGCAATGCAGTTGTATAATTCATTCACGTTTTTCCATTTGTATACTATGATCTTATGATCTTCTTTAATACTGATCCCTTTTCGATACAGTCTTAATTTATAGTCAGTTCCTTTTTTTACCTCACAGGTCAGGGTTGTGTTTGTACAACTCCAGGAGATCACAGGCTTTGAGACGGCCTCTGCAAAGAAAATAAATATCCAATTCATGCAAGGCAACTTTATGATGATGGCATAATTAATAGACATACCTATTTATAGAGGAGGAAAAGGAGTCATTTTGGGACAAGGGAACAATTTCAAAGACCCCCTAGCTATTTTCAAAAATCATTTTAAAAAAATTTTGTTTATACCGCACCCTCAGAACAAATGTATTTCTGATAAAGTTCACATTATATCAGTAAAAATATGTCACATCAAAAGGTGTTTTACACCTTAAAATGTTTTTATATACATGATCTCATTTAATAAATGCCCAAGGCTCTGAGAGGTTAAATAGGTGGGTTCTTGCCCAAAGTTGCTTAGCCATTCACTATACCTCACTGAATCTCATCTATAAGAGAAGGATAAGAAAAACATGCCCCACCTGTGGCCACAAGGACACCGTGTGACAAAGCCCTGGACAAAGTGTCAGGCGCTGATGTTATCGGTGGGAGTTGATACACTCATAATCATAAATTCATTGCCTGTTCTTTTCTGACATGATATTCGAAGGCCACACAGAAGAAAAGGCCAGGCCTTGGCATCATGGGGGTCAGGTGCAAATCCAAGCCCACTGCTTCTAGCTGTGTGACCTCCTTCCAATTCCTTCTCTTCTGCCCTTTTCCTTTCTTTACTCTCTTTCCCCAGACTTGCCATCTTTCTCGCTCAGTGTCTCTTCATTCGTTACACAAATGACAGCTTATTTTTTCAATGATCCCTCCCTCCCTGATTCCCAGGCAACAATATCGTCCATGAACTTTCCCAGCAAATTTCATTTCTGCCCCCAATAGATAGGCATACAGAAATTTGGTTTCGTCCCATCCTGGGATTCTGTGTGACCAAGAGTGAGGAGGATGGGGAAACATCACACAAGACAAGCTTCGGGCACAGTCTGGAGTCAAGGAGCTTACCTGTCATTTCAAAATGGAAATATTCTTTGTTCTATTTCTAAGAGTAGCATCTGATCATTGTAAAAACTGATAAAAAAATGTTTTGAGACTTAAAAAATAACTTACAATTCCACTCTCCAGAGTCAATAATTATTAATGCTTCAAGGTATATCTTTAGCAGACGTTTTTCTATGCATACACACACATATAAACAATGTTTTAAAAACTAAAACGATATCATGTGATTTTTGTAGTCTGCCTCTTTTTCTTTACTGACCTATCATGAAATTCTTTCCCTTAAGAATATCAATAAACAAATATCACCAAAATCTTTTTTAAAGGTGCATTTCTCATTTAATGAATAAGCTTCTAATTGCTGGGGACTTTTAAATCCTTTCCAGTATTTCACTAATATAAACCATCCAGTGATGAGCAGACTCTCGAAGTCATATCTTTGTGCCTATCCTCTCTGTAAGATAGCTTCCTAGAAAAGAAATGGCCAGATCAAGTGGGGACATAGCGCATAGACGAGACCCCCTCAATTCCAGGTTGCAAGGACTTGCAAGTCCTCTCCACTAACGTTTGCCTTTAAGGAGTTTTCCACTGCCTTTCCAGCCAGCGGCAGCAGCCCGCTCATTAAGAAGATGTGGGCGCCAAGACTGCAACCACGGGAAGTGTAGAGAAGCAGTGAGACAGAGAAGGACACTGAGCAAACAGAGCTTGTGTCCCAGGCACTGCAGGGTATCTTTGCTTGTCTCACTGAAACCGAGTCTCCCTGAATACCCTATGCAATTATTATTATGAAAACCAGACCCAGAGCATCTTTACCCAATGCCATGGGGCAAGCAATAGTGACCAGACCACAAACTGAGTTAAGATGCTGGGTAACATTTACAGAGAGAGAGGGAGAGAGAGAGAGAGAGAGAGAGAGAGAGAGAGAGAGAGAGAGAGAGAAAGGTGGCTGTTGTGTCATGGAAAGATCTCTGTCTTTTGGCCAGGGAGTATAGGGTTTATTTTGGGGGGACTAAAAGTGTTCTAAAATTGATTGTNAGAGAGAGAGAGAGAGAGAGAGAGAGAGAGAGAGAGAGAGAGAGAGAGAGAGCAAGGTGGCTGTTGTGTCATGGAAAGATCTCTGTCTTTTGGCCAGGGAGTATAGGGTTTATTTTGGGGGGACTAAAAGTGTTCTAAAATTGATTGTGGTGACGGTGGCACGACTCTGTGAATATACGAGAAGCCATTGAACTGTTCACTTTAAATGGATGAATTTTATGGTATGTGAACTGTGTCCCAATTAAGCTTTTGGGGAAGAAAAAATGTCATCATCCTTGTTAAAAGAAGCCCTCGGTTTGGAGCTTGACTTTGCATCCATCAAACTGTGAGACTATGGACAGTCACTGCTGTTTCCTTATAGATAAGAAGGGGATAATAACAGCACCACTCGGGATTGCTGGGAACCTTCACTAAGATCGTGGAAGCAAAGCACCTGACACCCAGCTGGTAGCCACTATTGTCGCTGCCATACTAGGAAGGGGTGAATGTGAGGCTCATGTTCAAAGCACGGCACTGGAGCTCATACTGGCAGGAGCCCTGAGATCTGGGGCACCCAGAGCCCATACACAGAGGTCCCTTCTGGCTCCACTCTCAGCCCCACCCCATTTCTGGAATGTACTCTCCAGTCAAGGCTGAAAACTAGGGTGTGGACTGTTGTCATTTACAGGGAGCCAACAATATCTGGGATTGTTGGAGAGGGGCAGCTGCCAGGTCCGTGGGCTGAGAACTGGGCTGGAAGGTGACCATAGGTCATAGGAGGGGACCCTGCTGCTGGTGGCATTTCCTGTGTGAAGTACAGAAATGTTTCTTTGCTCACTGACGCGCTGGCTCGTGCTCACGCTGGAGCCCCTGCCTTCCTCTCCAGGCCAAGTGTTGCTTCCTTTTCTCAATTCTGATCACGTCCTACCAAGTGGCCCCTGGACTTTCAATTTCAAGGTCATTTAAATTCCGCTTTCTCTTCTCTCTCTCCACACCCGTGCCATCCTGCCCATCCTTTCTCCACATATGATTCTCAGTAGGCTAACTCTTCCTCATTTTAGGCACCTTGTCTAGTCTAGTGCTTATCAGCTTTGGCTGCTCATTAGAGTCTTTAGACTCTACTGATGCCCAGGCCCCACACGAGACAATTCTGACTTAGTTGGTCTGGGATGGAAGCCGAGCCCTGGTAAGTTTAATAGCATCTCAGTTGATTCTAACATGCCACCAGGGCTAAGGATCACAAACCAGCCCCTGCCTACTGCACTCGGATTGTAGCAGCAGCGTCCTGGCTGGTTTTCTTGCCCGTCTTCCCCTGAGAGCAGTTGCACCCCTGCTCTCTTGGCACATGCACAGACATACTAAGTAAGCCACACCTTGTGTCTTCTCCACAGAGATCAGCAAAAACGTATCTTCTTCCTTGGATCACTCTGATACAAAGCAGATCAGAAACAAGGGCTGTTCGTCCTTAAATTCATTATTTCCAGCCCTTTCCTGCCATGTCACTATTTCTTCTGGGCATCCTGGCTTGAAATTGTCTCTCTAGTTGGAAGACGCACTGCTCTTCAGTAAGCCCCCCCTTCGCCGCTCCACACCTAGCTTGCCCCTTCTTCACCCACCTGGAAGCCCACCTTTTTCTTCTGCCCACCTGTTTCCCTCCTCCTGATAGCTACTGAAGGGACGGTTTTAGGCAGATGGGCTTGAAGTTCTGTCAGCTGTGGATTTCCACATGTGGATTTCATCTCTCCCACAGGATGGGAGCCTCCACTGAGGCAAGAGGGATGTATTAGATTTCTTTTGGGGCTCCCCCAAGGCCAAGGTCGTGGCTGGGGACATCCCATAAAGGCTATTCCCCAACTTGCTAAATCACACCCATATTGAGATGGAGGAATTTAGGGAACAAAGACTTACCTAGAATCTTCAAATCAAATGTTTTTTCTAAAACGTGTTTTCCTGTTTCACTATATGTGCTTGCCTTGTAGTTACCGCTGTCATTTCTCTTCAGATGTTTAATTTTCAGAGTCCCATTTTTAAATACTTGGTATTTATCGTTTTGCGGGTCAGTCTCGTTCTTTCGGCGTGCAATCCTGGCTCCATCTTTTTCCCACTGTATATCAGCGAAATCATTATTCATTTGAGAATCAGAAATGTCCAAGTTAATGTCCTGATCCAGGATACCATAGACTGTATTGTTTCCAGGGGTTTCACCTGTAAAAAGCAACACAGTTACTGAGATCTCGAGACTCCCTGTCCGGGAAAGCTGAACTGTGACCTCTTTGACTCAACGCTCACTTCAGGGTCTCCCAGGATGCTTCCGATGGACGCAATGGAGACCCACACACCAACTTACCTGTGGTAGAAAAGCTGAACATCAGGAGGAAGCTGGCTAAGATTTGACATGCGAAGCTCATCTTTGGGGTGAGTTTCCTTGTTGTGATTCTGAGCTCTTGTAAAAGGAACTAAAGTAAAACCAGTAGAATCCACCCCTCGGAGCTTAACCACGTGCCTCTGGTTTTTGCTGCTTTTACAGTAGCATAGAAAGTACAAATGCGCACACACTCTCACTCACACTCACACAGCAAACCAACCCTGCTGATAACGTTCCTTTGTCAAAGCAGGCATACTCATGAGTGTGTTCTCCTATCACATTTAAATTCTCACAACAACCTTGGGTGGGCTTTATTACTCCCATTGAAGAGGCAGAAGCTGAGAGGCTAAGTAAATCACGCAGGATCACCCTTTAGTCACCAAGGGTCCCAATTCAACCGTACAGCCCATCTTCTATCCATTCAGCGTTAATGCCTCCAACAAGACCACATCGAAATATAGGTAAATATTCATAAATGAATAGCAGAATACAGCTATTTATTCTATGACTTCACATGTTGGAAAAAAAAATACCTATGAAATAATTATAACAGCCGATTTCTTTCTTTTCCTCAAAAGGTGTTTTAATTTAAAGGTCTAAACTTGTTTTGTGATAAAAAGAAACAAATATAAAATGAATCTCAGCTGTAAATGCTTGAAATACCCAAATCTTACGGTTAGCATACAATTTTACAACGCTATTGAAATTCATAGTTAGGTAAATAAAAAGTTGTTGCAAAACAAACAAAAGTGCAGAGAGACTATGAAATACTATTAAACAATGAGAACAAATGATTCAAAAAACATTTGAGAGGTTAACACTATAGATGATTAAAGAAAGGAACAGATAAAGAGAAAAAGAGAAGTGAGAGAGGATTGGGAAAGAAAGAAAAGAGAAATTTGTCATACAGGGAGAGAAATAGAGCAATGCGTTGATGGATGCACACATAAAAGATGCACAGAGAGATCTAGTCGCAGAAAAACAGTTCCAAAACAGATGTCCAGTTTTATGGTTCTTTAGGATAAAGGGAGTCAAAATCTTAAAAATTGTGCTTGTTTTCTGTTTCAACCTTAGGTACTGATATTGATATTCTCTCTCAAAAAGTTGTGCCAGAAATGAAATTAAGTCAAGTAATGCACTCAACCACTGGGTAAAAAGGAAGCCCGAATAGAATATTTACCACATGATTACGACAAATCCCTAACTCACATCATCCACAAAACCAGACTACAATTGGATTATATTTTGAAATCTTTAAAACCTGTAAAGGTGTTAAAAACAGACATTTTCAGGCTGGCTGAGTGGCGTGATGGTTGAGTTGCCTTGAGATGCCAGCTCTGAGCAGCAGGGCCCTGGTTCGGATCCCACATGTGGGCCAGTGATGCTGTGCCCTCTACAGCTAAGATGGTGAACAGCAGCTCGACCTGGAGCTGGGCTGCTGTGAGTCGCTGGCATCAGCGTAGGCTGCAGCCCCTGCTGCTGCAGTGGGCTGCCATGAGCTATAGTGAGTGGCTGGCAGACAGCGTGAGTGGCTGGCAGCCAGCATGAGCTGTCGTGAGCCGCTGTGAGTGGCCGTCCAATGGCCGACGAACGATCTGCCTCACCCGGGAAGAACGCAATGATCACAATGCCAATATGTGGTCACTGAAGCGACATCCTCCATAACTGGACAAGAACAAAAGGACAGCAACTTGTCTGTTCCCTTTCTCCAATTCCCCAACGCTGTGCTCCTCCCCCAATTCCCCAATAAAATCTTTAAAAAAAAAATAGACATTTTCATACCTTTGAGTATGGAAGACCTACCTACAGATGCTATATGATCCAAAAGTAATAAAGAAAAGATGGACACAATTGACTAAATAAAAATGTAACATTTACGTATAGGGAAAGAGATATTAAACAACATGAAAAGACACAACAGGAAATAGTTGTAATATGTATGAAAAATTGTCAATATCCAAGATATGTAAATTATTCCTATTAATCAATAAGAAAAAGAAAACTTAGTTTTTAAAATGGGCAAAAAATATAAATGAGCTGTTTACAGAAGACATACTTTATAGAAGAAATATCAATAAACATATGAGAAGACATCTAATGTCACCAAAAAAAAAATATGTGTGTGTGTGTGTGTGTGTGTGTATTATAGCCACAAAATACCATTTTCACCATCAGATTGGCAGAACTAGGAAAAATAATTTACATTATTGACAAGACTGTAGGGAGAAATAGGGCCCTTCATACAATACTGGAAGGGTTGTGAATCCATATGTGCTGGCGGGTGAAATTTCACAATTTCCATCAACTTTAAAATATATATATTTTTTACTTTATAATTTTAATTTGAGAAATCTATTGTACACAAATATTTGTATATTTGTGCAAAAATTCTGTTCAAGGATGTTTGCTGTAGCATTGTTTGTAATAAAAAATTGCAGACAACTATAATTATGGTATATTCATATTAAGAAATATTGTATAACAGTCAAAATAGAATGAAGTGGACTCAAGAGTAAGAATATATTATATTATATTATATTATATTATATTATATTATATTATATTATATTTAATGTACGCATGATGAAAAATTTGGAAGGATTCATGCTGAACTTTTATCACTCTTCACCTTTCAAAACTTAGATTTTTTTTTGTTAATTGGGGAACAGTGTGTATTGTTTTGTTTTTCTAGGACCCATCGGCTCCAAGTCAAATAGTTGTTTCAGTATATTGGGTTGTCAGAAAAGTCATGACGCAAGTTTGCCACAGATGGCGCTAGTTCATTTTTGAAACTACTAGAGTCATTCGCATCTATGTTATTGCTATGTCATTTGACATCTGACAGTTCTAGCTTCATTCTAAAAAAAAACTGAGCAACTTGGTTGAGTTTTGGAGATTTTACAAGTTGAAGATGGAAGACCAAACTATGCATTTTCGCCATATCTTACTGTTTTACTTCCATAAAGGGAAGAATGCGTGTCAAGCTTCTGAAAAGTTGCATAACATTTACGGTGACCATTCTCTACAAGAACGTCAGTGCCAACGATGGTTCACGAAATTCCATGCTAGTGATTTTGATTGCAACGATGCTCCTCGGTCAGGGAGACCCACCGAGGTTGATGACGACAAAATAAAGGCATTGATCAAGTCAAACCCACGTTACACGACACAAGAGGTTGCAGCAACATTGAACATCCATCATTCAAGCGTTCACGACCACCTGAAGAAGCTGGGATACGCAAGCAAGCTCGATATTTGGGTCCCACATAAATTCAAGGAAGTTCATTTGACAGCGCAAATAAACATCTGCAATATGCTCATTAAACGTGAGGAAAACGATCCTTTTTTGAAGTGATTGATAACTGGTTACGAGAAGTGGATTGTTTACAACAATGTAGTGTGCAAACGGTCTTGGTCCCGTCGTGATGATTCGCCCCAAACGACATCGAAAGCAGACATTCATCAGAGGAAGGCTATGCTCTCAGTGTGGTGGGATTTTAAAGGTGTCGTGTTTTTCGAGCTCCTACCAAGGGACCAATCGATTCGAATGTGTACTGTCAGCAATTGGACAGTTTGAACGAATCCATCATCCAGAAACGTCCAAGCTTGTTAATTGTAAAGGAGTTGTGTTCCATCGCGACAACGCGAGGCCACACACAAGTTTGATCACCCGTCAAAACTTATTGGAACTTGGATGGGATGTGTTGCCACACCCACCATACTCGCCTGACCTTGCACCGTCAGACTTCCACTTGTTTCACTCTCTTCAAAACTCCTTGTGTGGTATAATGTTCAATTCAGATGAAGCTGTAAATAAGCACCTTGTTCAGTTTTTCGCAACTAAAGACAGGTCCTTCTAAGAACGAGGAATTATGAAGCTCACTGAAAGATGGCAAAAGATTATCGAACAAAACGGGCAATATATCATTGATTGATCTTTGTTCTTTATAAAAATAAATGACCTTTGAAAAACGTAAACTAAATACGTCATGACTTTTCCGACAACCCAATAATTGTGGAGGGCGCATCTCAGTGGCCCATGTGGGGATGGACCCAGCAACCTTGGTGTTATGAGCACTGCGCTCTAACCAACTGAGCTAACCGGCTGCCCCAGGACTTAGATTTCAAGGAGGCTGAATGGCTATTCACGTTTTACTTTGTCAGTGTCTGTGAAGTTAAACATTTTGGTGATGAGCACATATTATTTTTATAATGAAAGGTTTTTTGTTTTTTTTTAATAGAAGATACTTAAGACCCAGATGTTTTATCAAAAGTAAATGCAGATCCTAAGAAATCATCAGCATCTTATGTCTCTGCTTGTGAGAGGCTAACCCACTAGCCAGCGCTCCAGCCTTTCATGGCCTGGTCCAGACGATGTGGTGATGGTCATCATAAAACTTGCCTCAACATTTTTTTTTTAATTGGGAAACTGTGTTTTTCCAGGACCCATCAGCTCCAAGTCAAGTAGTTGTTTCAATCTAGTTGTGGAGGGTGCAGCTCAGTGGCCCATGTGGGTATCAAACCAGCAAACTTTGTGTTATGAGCCTGTGCTCTAACCACCTGAGCCAACCGGCAGCCCCCAGTCTCGACTTTCGAGGGAAGTCGCCCCCTCTTCCTTCCACTTTCTTGAGAGTTTTTCTTAAGTTCTCATGGAGCAAGTGGGCAGAAGCTTTCTGTTTTTCTTCTCTTTTTTTTTTTTAAAGATTTTTATTGGGGAATTGGGGGGATGGGAACAGCGCTGGGGAATTGGGGGAAGGGAAAACAGCTGTCGTTTTGTTCTTCAGTCTAGTTGTGGAGGACGTTGTTTCACTGGCCCAAGTTGGCACCATCATTGCGCTCTTCCCTGATGAGGCAGATCAGTCACTGGCTTCTGGATGGCCGCTCACGTTGGCTGCTGGCCGCTCACGCTGGCTGCTGGCTACACACGGTAGCCCATGGCAACCCACTGCCACATGGGCTGCAACCTACGCCGTCGCCGGCGATCCACAGCAGCTCAGCTCCAGGTCGAGCCGCCGTCCAGCATCCCAGCTGTGGAGGGCAGTGTCACTGGCCCTCATATGTGAGATCCGAACTGGGGCCCTCTGGCGTCCCAAGCCAGCTCTTAACCAACGTGCCACTCGG